AGAATATATTGTGAAGGAAATCGACTGTGTTTTTGTGGGTGAAACGCGGCCGCAAATTGCATGCACAGTGTCCCACAAACAGTTGTGGATTGAGTGACTTTGAGTATACAATTTTTTTGGGGTGGATTATTACCCCCAGAAAGCGATAGGCCAATCGAATAACACCTGGGTTCCTACTTACTGCTAGGTAAACAGAGGCGTGTGGAGTAAGGCAACTTGCCTAAGCTTTCACCTACCTGGGAATAAAAGCAGGTCCTCTTGCTTGTGAGGAGAGTGCTCTAACCACTACGGTAGGGACTCTGCAACATAGACTGATACAGGCTATCGGCCCTACTAGTCAGTGCCAATGTTTGTATTTCACACCAGCTCTTTCCCCTTATATTCCCCTCTCCTCTACCCACCTATTCATTCTCTCCTCTCCCATGTATTTCCTCACTAAATAATCTTTGCACTATAATTATGATTCTCTCCCAGCTATCAGTATATAAAGATGCTGAAATTGGGCATGATCAGTGGCAGTGTGTTTGCTGTTAATTTGGAAACGAGCAAGATGGTTTCCTTATCTGATTGACACCCCTTTTGCTATAGAAAATCCAATCTCTTTTCTCCTCTCTTTAATCCCATTCTTTATCATGTATCAATTCATTGCATCACAGAACATTCACAGCACACAAAGCCTTTCACACCAATATGACAGCTCTTATGTTATTAAAGTTACTAGAGCTACTGCATCTGCACTGGTCTCAACCCCCTGCTCTACCTCGATACTCTTTTCCTCATATATTTATCCCATTCTCTTTTAAATGCTGGTCAGGGTCTTCGCTTCTTCTCCCCTCACCCCCACCCCTTTTTATTCACTTGCTTTTACTTTTCACAGTTGAGTAGACTTGGATTGAGTTTACACATTCATTTGACTTTTCTGCAGAGTGCAGTAACAGCATCCTTCAAGGTCCTTGCAAATTCACTCATCTCAGGGATTAAGCTGATATTTATACATCCTTGAAATTAGATACATTGGTACTTTTGTCTAGCTATTTTTATTTGGTACATTGGCAGATCTACTACCTCTTTTATTCAGTGTCAGGGCTGTTTTGCTCTCAAAAATACTCTATAAATCAGATTGCTGGTGGTGGGAGGTTTGATGCTTTCCTTAAAGATGTGATTCTTTTTAATATATGTTATCATTGTGCAAATTACTTAGTAAACTATACTACATATTTTTTGCCTGGAATACATTTTAAAAATCCATAAATTCATGGTTCTAAAAATAGCTTCAAAAACAAGATAGGAAGGAGAACAAGAATTCGTTCTCAGTGGTCAGCCTTTGTTGCTGTAGGGTTTGCAATTTTCTCCATGCCTTTGACCCACCTAACCTCTGTGATCTCTTATGGTTCTACTTCCTTGCCTGCTCTCTCCTTCCTGCCAATTCTGTCCTGCAGCAACATCCTCCATCCCTTCACCACCTGTAAATGAACTACAAGCCATATTGCCCTACTCTCTCGCCATAAATCCCTCCACCCTCCCTCTTTAATTCTTCAAAACCTCATTAACTTCAGTCTCAATTCATATAGCAATAACTGCTGGGCTGACTAAACAGTCTTACCAGTGTGCAACTAATAGTTGAATTCACGTAGATATTATTTGCTTCCCACAGTGATACTCTAACTCCTGATGGATGACATTTTGATTTGCACTGATGATATCCACTGGGTACAGGTTCCAGGTAGTGCAGATATTGGGCTCTAACTACAATATTTAATCCACGACTGTTTTTGGGACACTGCTGTGCGCATTTGGCTGCTATAATTTTCCTCCTATTCCTTTCAGTTTACATTTAATGTATTTTATCAGACGCTGCTGTTTTGGGCCCTTTAGTCTATCAAGCCTACTCCTTCCACATTATAATCCTTGCATTTCATATCACGTTGTTGAGGCATCTTAAAGTATTTCACAGAATATATCGTAAAGTGAATTGACTGTGAATTTTGTGGGCAAAACGTGGCAGCCAATTGCGCAAATTGTGACCAAATTATTATTATTTTTATTTTTTTGAAGGGATTATTACCCCCGGAAGCGATCTGCCAATCGACTAACAACCGGGTTCCTACTTACTGCTAGGTAAACAGGTGTGTGGATTAAGGAAACATTATTCCGCCACTTCATCTCACAGAGATGAATCTGCACAAAACCTCCTTGAAACTTTAAAACTAATAAAGCAATAACAGCAGAATGTTTATTCATCCCCATATTTCCACTAACAAAGCCAATCTTCCATTCCCCCTCCAACAGCACAGAATAATTGTGATCTGTGAAGGATTTGTTCACCTCAGTCTTCACTTACCCCAGTATCTTCCAATACTGTTCTTAAGATTAAACTATCCTGTTGTTATTGATGGAGGTTAGCTCACGTAAGCAGAGAAATCTACACATTACGTAGATCTTCGAATATATTTTTTCTTAATTCTCAAGGGCTTCAGCTACTTTGGGGATGAGGTCATGTGGACTTGAGTGGTATTGTGGAGAAAGTGGGCGAAAGGCTGAAAGGAGAGTTATGGATTGAACAAAACCTAAAAATTTCAATAGCAACTTCATTTATTTAGCTTCCCTCACGTAGGCTAGGATCCCAGAGCTCCATAATTGGAATGAGCAAACGAGGAGGTCAACACCCAATGATCATTTCTAAAATACCGATCAGCTGCTGAACACAAAATTTACTATATTTCCTCCTGTGCTCTGTTCCCTAGGAACAGAGTGGAAACAGTCAGAATGTGCATTCACAGGATCACAAGAATCACAAGATCTGACCCATCTGATCTCATCCTTCCAGGACACCCACCTTGTCATCCTCCCATCACAGCATTGAGCTGTTTTTTAAATGAGTCATGTCCTGGCTTCAAAGGACCCTTCTTGGTAACTTGCTCTATTTGATAATTACTCTCTAAGTAAAGAAAAACTTCCAGGGCATTTCTTGTGCATTATGGTTGTTATCCATGGTGTGACCACTTTACTGCTGGGAGAGTGAAATCTCACATGAGTGCATTCACAACAGATAAATTTAAACCTTATCCCTCATATCCCATGTCATCCCATTTCTTAAAGCTTCTCTTACTTGTCTGAATAAATCCTATTTATTGGTTCACTTTGAGCTGGAAGTTTATAGATTATTATACGTCCTTATCGTTATTAACTTCTGCCCGGGTTATTCTGAAAACAACCCTCTTTTCACTCATACATTCCCCTTCCTCCTTCCTGTTGCAGGGGAACCTTTCAAAGGAAACCACACCTTAGTGTTATGGTGATTTTATTTTAGCCCAGGCTCAAAGACTGGAAAGGCACTGCTTCAAGCTTCTGCAGCCTGGTGTAGAAAGATAACGCAGAGGACACTAGAATATGAATGCCATACTCTTGGCCATATTCTTTAACAAAACCTAATTGAGGATCTACAGTATTGTGATTTATACATTCAAGACAAATGAAGCAAGTTTGCAATTGCGTGCAGACAGCATACAAAATAAACACAATTAGAATATGAATTATCTAAGCAATGCTGGGAGAATTCTGACACTTTGACCCAATACACATTCAGAGTAATATTCCAAACGTCAGCTGGTCACATTATGCTTCCTTGAACAATTAGTTTTCTGGAGTTTATGACAAGTCATAACTCGAGTGAAACCCCAAAACGTATTCTGGGGTCCCCAAAACAGAATGCCAACCTGCACCTAATACTTTCTGGGTTAGGTAGCAGGACAAACTAAAACTTCAGTGCACAAGTCAAACTCTCAGCGATTTATTTGGATTGGATTTCCAAGTGGGACAGACACCCAGCTGATCCAAAATATAAAGCAGCTTGGAACATGCCTTAGAGATTAAGTCCTCGACTTTGACTCTATGTAAACCTTTAAAATTCACTTGTGAGCTTTACAGCAGCAGGGAGAGAGCAAAGATCTACTGACTCCATGCACTGAATCCTCAAATGCAAAGATATGTAAGGATCATGTCTGCCATAGGCACGTAATAATAATAATAATCCTTGCGTTTGATATAGCGCCTCATCACATTGTTGAGATGTCTCAAAGCGCTTCACAGAATATACTGTAAAGTGAACTGACTATATATTTGTGCGTGAAATGTGGCAGCCAGATGTGCACAGCAACGTCCCACAAACAGTCATGGTTTGAGTGATCAGATTTTTTTTAAGAGATTATAACTCCAAAAAGCGATCCGCCAATCTACTAACAACCAGATTCCTACTAGGTAAACAAAGGCGCGTGGGTAAGGAAACGTGCCAAAGGTTTCGTCCTGCCCCGGAATCGAATCTGGGTCCTCTCACTTGCGAGGCGAATGCTCTAACCATTAAGCTACAGGACTCCATGTAGAAAAGAGTTGAAAAAGGCCCAGAGCCCCATCAAGTTCAGTCCTGGCATAGCCCCCATTCCACCTTACATCCAATCCTCTAATACATATCTCTCCTTGGGTCACCTACCCAGTTTCCACCCTCCACTTAAGATAAAAAAAAGAACCTATCTGTCACTAGAAAATTGCTTCTTGATTCTCCAAGGCAGTGGAGCAAAGCGGACATGACCTTGGATTCTCTCCACCTCAACAGACACTGTTTGAAAAGTGAAGGGAATTCCTCCCTTGTCCTGGCCTACAATCCCCAGATAAATTAATCATTTACTTAATAGCTGTTTGTGGGATATTGCTATATGCAAATTGGCTGTCACTTTTGCCTTCCAATACATGCTAACTACACTTTACAATAAAAATTGTGTTAAGCACATTGAGGTGTTTTGACAATGTGATATAGTGCTATCTCAAAGGATGATTATTATTCTAAGAATTATATCAGCAATGTCAGCGTTACACTGTTAAGCTCCCTATCTGTAACTGACGATCCGCTTTTCCCCGAGAAATCTCACTAGATCTTTCTTGAACGAATGAATATTATTTGCACAAACAATCTCGCTTGGAAATGTGTTTCTGATATCTTCCACTACCTTCTGTGTGAAGAAATGCTTCCTACCGTCCGACTGGAATCATCACCTCGTACACTGCTGGAGATGAAGGTCTGGAACAAGAAGTAGCAAATGAACTGTTTTTCAGCTGGTCACTGGTACAGGATACACCTACTACATACTATACACCTGCTGCTTTGTGTAGGTGTGCACACAAAGCAATACACTTCAACCGCAATATTTCTTGCTAAATTTAAACAGTCCTTCCATTCCGATCGTCTGTAAAATAACTACTTCCAGTTCCCTAAGCAGCCTGTTTACAGCCAATCACTGCTGATGCATCTCTGCAAATGGCTTCATTTAACCAGCTTTGATTAACACTCAGACTACAGGAGCACCAATCCATGATAAACAACTTTCTGACAGAACTCACTGTATATGTTCAGTTCAAAAGATTCGAACCGAAGCTACTGCTGTGGGAGATAAATCTACCCCAGGGACAACAACAACAACATTACATTTGTATCGCGCTTTTCACATCGGGAGGACGTCCCAAGGCGCTGGACAGTCAGTGTTTCAGACCCAAGCTGGGGTCGGGATCGGGGAGGGTGGAAGATGGAGGGCAGTGGGGGAAGAAGAGTAATCAAAGGAGCAGTCAAAGAGGAGGGTCTTGAGATGGGTCTTGAAGGTGGCAAGGGAGGGGCGAGGTGGAGGGACTGCGCGATGGAGTTCCAGAGAGTGGGGGCAGAGTGGCAGAAGGCCAATGGTGGCGCAGGCGAGGTGGAGGACGTGAAGCAGGCCGGAGCCCACTGAGAGGACAGAGCGGGCAGGATGACAGGGGGTTAGGAGGTTGCAGAGGTAGGGGGGAGCAAGACCATGGAGGGCTTTGAAGGTGAGGACCAGGATCTTGAACTGTATCCTCTGTGTGATGGGAAGCCAGTGGAATCGGGCGAGGGTGGGGGGGGGTGGTGGTGATAGGGTCGCGGAGCCTAGTGCAAGAGAGGACACGGGCTGCAGAGTTCTGGATGATCTGCAGCCTGTGGAGGGAGGAGGCGGGGAGGCCGACAAGCAAGGAGTTTGTATAGTCAAGCCTGGATATTATGAATGCATACATGAGGGTCTCAGCGGCCTGCAGTATGAGACAGTGGCAGAGTCGGGCGATATTGCGGAGGTGGGGGATCATGGCACCGATGTGGGGTAGAAAGGATAGTTGAGACAAACAAGACCCCAAGGTTCCGGACTGGCTTAGTAAGGTGGAGTGTGTAACCATGGATGGTGATGCTGTCAGCGCCTGAGGTGAGGAGGCGCTGACAGGAGCCAATCAGGAGAGCCTCGGTCTTGTTGACGTTCAACTGTAGAAAGTTAGCTCTCATCCAGGACTTGATGTCTGACAGACATTCTGTCAGGACAGCAGTGGTCCTGGAGTCAAGGGTGGAGGCGGAGAGGTAGAGTTGGGTATCATCCGGATACAGGTGGAAGTTGACCCCATGTCTACGGATGATGTCACCAAGAGATATTGAAGAGGAGGAGTCCAAGGCAGAGCCTTGAAGGAAGGCTTTAAACCATTCAGGCCCAGGGTATTCAGCAAAGCTCTATTTTGTGAAGGAGCAAATGGAGCCTTTCTGCGAAAGTATATTCCAGTCAAGATATTCAGGTCTATGAAAAAAACATGCACTGCTGCTTTTATTATCCCATTTTTGTTTATGATTCTTGGTGGTGAGTGGAAAGGAAGTGGAGGACAAAAGGAAAACAATAACTCATTTATATTTGGCCCTTCACGTGGAATACCATTTTGGAGCCTTGACAATGGTGTCATTTGACACCAAGCTGGGGAGAAACAGGAGGTGACCAAGCAACAACTTGCATTTATATAGTGCCATTCACGCAAGTGATGTCTCGGAGCATTTAACAGCAGTGTGGATTAACACCGAGCTGGAAAGGGATGGGAGTTAACCAAAGGCACGGTCAAGGAAAATCTTCAGGTGTGATTTGAAGATGGGCAAAGAGAGGGCAAAGCGGAAGATCCAGACTTTTGGGGCGTAGTGACTGAAATAAAGGACCAACCTAAAATATCAACAGAATCCAAATTTTGACATTAATTTTTTTCTCTATGTTGTTTTGTATCAACAAAACTTTTACTCCTTATTTTGTAATGTATGAGGCAAGCTTCTCATTTGAGTGCATCCATATAGCGATGCAAGTAACAGTGTATGGCATTGACTCATACCATAGACAATGGAATACCCTACTTTTAAATGAAAATTAAAAAACTTGACATAATGCTTCTGTGTTTTACACCAAATCCATTGTGTTGTGGATCATTGACGTGTCCAGTGTAATACATGCAATGTAAAAGTGGTTAATAATAATAATAATCCTTGCATTTGATATAGCCAGAACCTCGTTCGTTCAGGTCAGCATTCCCTTTCGGAGTATTGTATTAGCCCGGGTCATTCAGTTTCCTCTGTCACATTGAATATACAGCTACAGGTCAAGTCCACTCACAAATCAGGTGATTGTGGCAATCAAAATGATCAAGGAGACCATAGCAAACCTTAAATTGCATTAAAGAAACCAACCCAATCAGCCACTATAACCATCTGGCACAGGCTACTGCTACATTAATGGAGTCTAAATTATTATTTTTTAATGAAACAATGGCTAGAGAGACACCGACATTTAAAAGCATGTTAATTTGCTCTCTTTCATCACTACAGTGAGGACTGTATACCTTTAATCTTACAGTTTCTATTATACAATTACAGTTGCAGATTATTTCTATTAAATGGCTGTGACTCATCAATTAGTGCATGACAGCGTTAAACACTCATCATATTTTGCTATAAATTACTTTCCTAAATTAATTCATGCTTTTCCCCTGTTAATTTATTTTTCATATATGCCAGTTGCACCTTGGTGATTCCTGGCTATTTTAGGAACCAAAATAGACAGATTAGTTTCTTCCATTGTATCTATTCTTTTAATCAGGCCTTGTCGCTTCATCTCACTTTCTCCACATGTTCCAGCAATTTGAATTGAATCCATAGGCAGACTGAATGACACTGGCCTGCGCTTACTGTCTGTGAGCAGTGGTCCAACTCCACGGTCATGCTTTTGTGGTTTTGCACATGCTGCGCATGCCCACATAAGGAAACAATTAAAATGAAAAAAGTTCCATTAAATCAATTTAGCATCCAGAACAGGGGGGAATTCAGTGTGTGGTGTTGGAGGCTCAAGGGATGGAGCAGGCATCATTCGCAGATACATTGGGGGAAAGTGATCAATTCCCAAGTCGCCACAAGTTTGAGAACAGCCATGACTTTGGTCGTTGTTTTTTTGTACAAACATGTATTGACGATACAGACACACCCACACACAGACAGGCACACAAAATGTGTAGTGACCATGTATTTGCTGCATTCGGCCACAAAATCCACAGTCACTTCATTTTACAGTTTACCCTGTGAAGCACTATGAGACATCTTGGCAATGTGATTTGGCTCTATATCAAGTACAAGGATTATTATTATCATTTGTAGGCCAACATGGCAGCCAATTTACACACAGAAATGTCCTACAAACAACCAGGAGGACACCTTTATCTTTGTGAATAGAGAAAGAAACAGAGACTAAATTCAAGTGCTCTGAGTCGGTACTCTGTGTGAGGGGAGCTATATTTGTTGTTGTTGATTAAAGGTTTAATGTCCACTTAACACCAGTCAGACTGGATCGCAGTTTAACTGAAAGGACAGCATCTGCCCCCACCACCTCCGCACTACATTGGAGGTCAGCCTAGACTATGAGTTCCTGATGTGATGCTTGAACTCTCAACCTTATGATTTAGAAGTGACAGTGCTATTAACTGAACCAGGCTAATCCAATTCTGTCAGAGCTCCTATCTAGTAGAAGAAATATCGTACAGTGGGATTTTCCCAATCCATTGTTCCGATTGCAGGAACTTCTCTCTGATAAAAAAAACTTCTGGAACGGATTTCCTGGTGGGTCAACAAGAATTCTACCAAGATCCCTGGTTAAGAAAGCATGTAAAGAAATATTGTAAATATACTTACTGTAATAAGAGCAGAGCTCCAGCCCTATAATATCTAAATGCTTATCTGATCATAATTAGTCACAAATTGTTATGGCCGGTCACCCGCCTAAAGTAACTTCTCAAATTCTCATATTATCAAAAGCAGGGACAAAGATGATAATTCATCATGATTTCTCCTTATTACAGTATTTGGTGCTCTTCAGCAAAGTGTTCCTGTTGATTCAGATTTTAATTATTGGTGATCTCAGATCAGGATCTTACTCTGGGATCAGAATCTTACTCTCAGATCAGGATGTTACCAAGTGATGATTTCCAATAGCTGGGTTGCTAAGAACCCTGCTCAATGTGGCAGTGAGCCTTCCTAATCCCCAGCCTGTGCTGTTGTCTGAGCTTAGCTAACATTGCAAGAGGCATGCCGCAGTTCAGCACATTGATAATAATAATAATAATCCTTGCATTTGATATAGCTCTTTATGACATTGTCTTCTCAAGGCACTTCACAGGATACACTGTAAAGTGCAATGTCTGTGTATTTTGTGGGCGTAACGTGGCAGCCTGTTGCCGCAAAGCAATGTCCCACACACAGTGGTGGACCAAGCCACGAGTTGGTTAATGTGGGGAATGAAAATAAATCAGCTTGTGTTACTACTCCTTATTAATATACAATACATTCTGTGAGAAAGTGCAACATCATTTGAGACAGGTTGCCAGCACTCACTTTCTAGGCTTACAAATTAACATTTTTTTGGTCAGACTGATGTCTGACACGTGTGGAAACCCATCACCATTCTTAAGAGTATCCAAACTAGACAGAGTTCCATATATGTATGCTTACCTAATTCTGGTGAGTATTAGGTGCAGATTGGCAAGAACCGAGACTTGGGGATCCTAGAGTGTGTTGGGGTACTGATGTAGCTTAACCAGTTAAAAAACTGCATAGCTTGCCATTGATATCACTGTCTGGCAAGCTTTCTGCTGTTTGTCTAGCTAGGAGCACCTTACCTGTTAGAGCATTATCTTGCTGAGCTAACAGGGTCCAAGTGGAAAGATTCCCTGTCCACA